AGTGATTTTTTGTAGAGATGATCTTTGAATGTGTATCTACAAAATAGATGGTTTGGATTAGTGAAATACAATCCGGAGTGGGCCCTACAAGGGGTGTCCCTCAAATAAGCTTATTTGAGAGATCCCTCAATGGAAGCTCTATATATATATATATATATATTGTACATAAACTAATACCAAATAACAACAACTAATAAATAAATAAAGAAGGAAAAGGCATAACTAAAAAAATGAATGCTTACTATATATATATATAGTACATAAACAAATACCAAATAACAACAACTAATAAATAAATAAAGACGGAAAAGGCATAACTAAAAAAAATGAATGCTTACTATATGATATGATGTACATAAAACAACGCCATGATTTGCCATCATGTATATACTGTACAAAAAACAATGCCATGGTTACCCACAACCAAAATAAATAAATAAACAGAAAAGTAGAAAAAATAATTGGGATGCTTATGTACATGGATATATATACATCAACAACAACTATTCAAAGACTATCAACCATAGGATTGCAAGAAGAGGGGTATCAAAGATCATACATATTGTATAAAAAGAGAAGAAATTTTTTACCTTTACTTGACAAGCACACACATTTTGAAAAGCATAGAGCACGTTCAAAGTTTCTAGGGTTGACATAAGATTTGTCAAGGCCTTTTCTATTTATACTTACTACTTTAAATTCTAACAAAATTGGGCAACTTATTACTTCCTTCAAAATAAATAACTTTTTGAATACACCTAAACTTTGTTTGACTTCTAAAAAGTCATAATTGAATACACCTATATTTCGATGTATTTTTTTAAAATCAATAGAAATCTGAATTGAATACACCCCCTTAGTGACATTTGAAATTCAAATGTTTTATCTTATGGATAGTGTTTTGAGTTAGTTTTCTTTGTATAGGACTCAAAGTCTATCTCAGATGCTCTCCTGATTTGTAGAAGCGGTTCTTCTTTTGAATATTGTGATCATCCATACTTTTGTATAAATATACAGCTGCAATCACAAAGGCTAAGCAAGTTTAAATACACCATAATTATTTATTTATAATGATTTACTACAATATTTTACACTTTATACATTGCATGGTAAAATACATGAATGACTTAATACCACATTGAGTTCATATAAGGTTCAATTTTGAGTTATTTACACTAACACCTCCTGAGGTTTTCAGCTTTTCACAAAACTCCTTGATGTTTTAGAAATTACAACACCCCTTGAGATTTTAAATTGTTTTCACAAAACTCCTTTTCATTGATTTTTCATCCAAAGATTGATGATTTTATACAAAAAAAAAATTCTCCAAATGACAAAGTTGACCTTTAAGATTAGATTGCATATACTTCATTGAGGTTAATTTTGTCATTTGCATAATTTTTTTTCAATGAAATCATCAATTTTTGG